ATTACACGTTTCCGGATTTTGAAGGTGGTGGTAGTAACACAAGTCATGAATTGCGCTACTCAAAAGTTAGTTCAAATAATCAAAATAAAAACTTAGGTAGTGATCACGGGCATAGCAGAAATAGTTATTTCGAGCAGCCCACCCTACGAATTTCAATTCATAAAAATTATTTTCATTTAAGTGATGTTTAACTTTATTATTCAGTCACATATTATCAAACACATTATTCAGCAAGTCTAATAGTGAATATTATTACTTAATGTCCACGTCCTTCTGCTGGACGAAATTCCTTCTTCCTTGGATAATCATTTTCTTCGAAATTGTTCAAATCAGACCAAGCGTACCCCTCATCTAAATGAAATCATAATTATTCAACTGAGCTCTAATTTAAATGATACCTTGAATAATACCAAGCATGACTGTAACGGTATTGAAATGACACATCGAGATTCCTTCTTTTACTTTGGCGTCGAATTCCACAGCAATTCCGACGAAATCACCATAAAGAGTATACAATCCGCCTCCGCTATCGCCCTTTTTCATTCCACTGTCACCCATGTGTTTGTTATATTTATCCATAACTTTCGAAGAAATAACACCCTAGAAATGAATTAGGTAGTATTTTTAAGAAACCTTAAAATTTATCCGTGTTTTATCTCTCAATAATAAATTTTGAATAAAACATGATAACCTTTTTCACACAAAGCGGACCATCAACCATCTTAATCCTCAAATTTTCCATCCTTGTATACTGCCGATCTTGAGCAATTAACCCTAAAATTAGTTCGAATCAATCAAAGATTAAATTAGTCTGAATTAATAAAAGATTACGAACCAATCAAGACGTAATCTTCCCCAAATGTTGCACTGGTCGGAAAAGGAGGATCATCACATAGATCGATTTTTGAAAGAAGAAAGACAAAGTCGCTGTGCTTATTGATATATGCAACCTAAATGTATTCATTAAAAACTCAAATTAATGTGTGTAAAGTATATATATATATTAATGATACTGAGTGAGAATAACTGACCTTAAGTGTCGTCGAAGTTTGTCCATTAGGAAAGTTTTTTAATAAACTCCCTTTGCATGGTTTAACCTCGACATAGTCACCGATACTAACGTTATCGTCAAGACAATGTGCGCAGGTTAGTGCCGCTCGTTTAGCCATAACAGAAACACAGCATCCTTGGTCAGTTTCGAGGAGAAATGAAATCACACCTCTATACCAATTGGGACTATGCGAACGAGAATCTAAACAACACAAATATAGATTTTTTAACAAAAGTACAAAAGTATCTGACAAAAGTTGTTAGATCCCGCATGATCAATTAGGTTTTTGTCAACCTTTCCAAGCTTTAACTCTATTCAATGTGGGGTGAATGAAATACGAATTCTGAGAGAGAGCCATTTATTACCAAAAGTTACATACTATAACATACATAAAGATAGACAGGAATAATATTAATCTTACATGTGTGACTAGAATGAATACGGGCAAGAGGAAAGAGAGCTCAGAACAGGGGACACCAATCGGAACGGTCCTAACAGACGCACTGATCTTGTGGTGAGGCGAAGTCCCGCCTACATAAAGTCGTTGACGACACTGGGGGGAGCAGTTCACTTGTGATCAGTGAATTTGAGCGAGCAAAGCGGATAAGGATGATGAAAAGGTAAGTTGTGTTTCTTACAGAAAAAGCAAGATTTTATTTTATCTTTCATATTTTTTAAGTGAAAATCCTTTTCGTATAAAAACGTATAAATTTAAGTTATTGATGAAAGATAATAAATTCAATCAAAAATCATACAAACCTTCAACGTCAGCCGGAGTTGCCGGTCTTGAGTGCTCTTGGTTCGATTCAACATGAAACTCCATAGATTCCCATCCATCCGGAAGAATAAATAATAATCGCATCATGAGGAAGCAGAAAGGCATTTTTGATCGAGCAATTGGTGAGCGTATTGTTGGTCAAGTACAGTCTCTTTTCTTCGTCGAACATCTTCACTCGAACTGTTTGAGCCATTTTCCAAGAATGATATCTGAAAACAAAGAATTAATTGTTTACACACACTCTTTATGATAAGAAAAAAAAGAAAGAAAGGAAAAGCGTTCATTTCCGGAAAAAACTAGCACAGTTAAATTGCAACGCGACTTAACAGATAATTACTTCTAAATGGCGTAGTACTAAAAATCCACTAAGAAGAAAAAAAGAGAGAGTGGTCAATCTGTGAAGATCGACGAACTCGACGAGTTTGGTCACACTCTAAACCTTCTCGAAGGTGCTGGCAAACAGGTATGAAAGAACGAAGTGTCTCATTTGAGAACGATTTGCGTCGCAGTTTTCTTCAGTTTTTGTGTTGTTATCTATATCATTTTCAAGATCTTTTTCAAGCAAAGTTCAATATTTTCTAAGATGGAGGATGCTTCTCGTGTCAAGAAATCTCTACTTCTCCATAGAAAGTGTAAAAGTGAACAGAAAGAACTGGTAAGCCTTTTCTGTTTGATACACTAGATTATTAATTATTTGCAGGTTTTACTTCAAAATCAATTTGGTGAATCTCTTCGGAAAGAATCAGACAGTAACATTTAGTACTTTGAGCAACGTTTTTAGCGAAGCTGGCTTTTATTGTAACATCTGGTAGACATGCAATAATTCTATCATTCTGTTTTGATACATCAAATACTAGAAGCGGATAATAATAACACATCTTCTTCCATAAGTATGTAATCCTTGATACTTTCACAATAGTTTTTATTTTGATTATTTGAACTAACTTTTGAGTAGCGCAATTCATGACTTGTGTT